GGTCCAGTCTCTTCGTGACAGCTTCGGTTACTACAGACAATACAGCTTTTTGCCGCGTGCTAGCCCAGTGCGAGGCATTGAAGGGGTCACTCCGTATGTTCTGTTTACGCTTACATTGCATTCCAACGGCATCCTTTCTCAACCATTCACAGTCGCGTAGGGATATCTCAACGGCTTTTCATCGGATGGCACGAAGGCTGAACCTACGTTTATCCGGTTACCCGTTGTGTTGGGCGAACTCGGGTACTTTTTTCGTCTCTTCCAAAGGATCCACGGACTGCAATGAAAGCCACATGTCGTTAAATAATGCGACAAAAGGCTGAAAGCAGATTTGCTGCGGCAGCTCCGGGAGACTCGTACTAGGGCGACAAACGTCGATATTCAAATGAATGTTGATGGTATTCGGACTTACAACAACCCGCATACCCAACTATGGCCCATACTTTAGTGCAAAATCTTCCCTTTACTTGATCAGCCTTTCATCACTGATAAAGATAGTGGTGAGAACAAGCCGAATGATGTTCAACAGCTGATGTCTGACAGAGTCACTGAGTGGCCGGACGTCCGCGAAGTTTACCACATTCACACCCTCCGTGTTTCATGTTCCGCTTGCGACAGCCCTGTTAAGACATTTCTGAAGCAAGTGAAGGGACATGCAGGATATTACGGCCGTGATTATTGCACACAAAAGGGCATGTGAATCGGTAAACGAATGACTTTCCCTCGTTAACAGTCCCATTACTTCTTGACTCTGATTTCCGCACCCGAAAGCAAAACAAGCACCATACAGGTGCCAGTCCGATGGGCAGCTGAATTTCCCCATGATTGACGGTATTCCACCAGATTACGTGCAGTGTCTCTTGGTTTGGTGCCAAAATTATCAATCTTACCCAGCTATGCCTACTAGGCACAAGGCTAGGATTCATTCGGAGTACTGGAACTTCTGAATGATGCAACTGCGCAACATAGTGTGGTACTAAGTGCAGATCTTCCTCAAAAACTTTGAGGTATGGTGGACCTGATTCGGCCGAAGGCTTTTGAGCTAGGACAGTTCCTTCTGTACATAGGACCAGTTGTGCTACTAGATATTTTACATCCTGACGTTAACGAATGCTTCATGTGTTGTTCTGTAAGCACTTTTACAGTCTGTTCACCTTTTTCCGCTACACTATGCTGAACTTTTAATTGATGTTTCAAAATGTGCTGCCGCTTTTGGACCAAACCACTTGAATTAAAACGGTGGGTTTATCGATCATATTGTGATGGTTTCATTAAAAAGAAACAGCTGTCATCTAATTTTACAGACGGATCGGATCATGGTTTCAGTGGTGATACCATTTTGATTGCAAACGCAGTAATGAGCCCACTGGCTCCAAAACACTGAACGTTCCTCCCGCAACTGCTAACTTTTCAATCTGATTATTACATACATATCTTTAGATGTACCAATCCTACGGCCCCAGACAGCTGTATCATTCCCGATTCTGATGCAACACCAGTCCCGGGCGATGCACCGCTGATAGGTGGAACGTGCATTTCATTTTGTTGCAACCATCTTAATCCTGTCAGTATTTCAGCAGCTTCGCTGACAGCAAATAGTTGATGACTGAATATGACATAAACTGAGACTATTGGGTAAATAGAAAGTAACAAAACTGTGCAGCCTCAACTCAGAAACCTGAAGATTTTCTCGAAGGATTCATTTCGCTCTGATGGTGAAAACAGCTGTGAGTGATGAATGAAGCTAACAGAATGAAAGAGGGAGCGGTTAAACTAGACACTGAAAGGAACTAAGGACCCACCGTACAGATTCTACCAGAGATTAATATTAGACAAGCTGTTTCAAGAAGATAAAAACAAACAAACAAATGGAAAAACCCACACACTTCTACCAAAATAAATAAATATGGCAGGTTCCAACGAGACATACCCATCTAATGTTTACTTTACCTTCCACAGAATTTTGTCTATCTCGCCCAGTTAGTGTTTTTTTTATTAAACGCCGCAGTATGTTTTGAATTCCGTTTTATTTTGTGAGCCTCAACTTCACAGACGAGAGTGTTAAATTTGCTCCTGGAGAAGACATTTATCAAACGTATCATTTTTAATTTAACTCGAAGACAGGGCTCTGGAAAAGTAACTGAGTGTTATCATATTTTGGGAAACATCAGGACAGCCAAACGAAAGAGATTTCTAGATGCGAACAGTAAATTTACTTTCATCAAATTTAAAACTGAAACTTTCCAGGGTCATGCAATAGAGGCAAGGGAATGTGCCTAGAGAATTAACGCCGAATAACATCACAGTTGAAATAGTGGATTCAGTGGTGTCAGCTGGAAGATGGTTTGATGGTTTTAACCGGGAACTTTTTTGCACAACTCTCAGTTCGTTGGTCTTTGATCAACACATTTTCATACAAGACCAAGAGGTGAGATTGCCATGAAGGTTTTCAAAATCTCTACTCACTGGAAAAGTAAGGAGTCAAATCTAATCGAGTAATGAAGGTGACAGATTGAAAGATGTTACTGGGCGGTAGTGCGTTCTTACATAAGCATTCATGGAAGAAGCACAACTGTTCAGTCACTCAAAAGTATAACGCAATCCCTTGACCACCTTCGCAAGAATGTGACTTCCCCCATTATCTCTCCAATGTCACGCACCCTATTTGCTGCTCTTACAACCTATCAGTTACATAACCCACTTATTTGACACTTTTCAGACGTCTTATTATTGAGTTACTTTATCTCCTCATTTTTGTGGAAGTTTTTTCCGGATTTCAGGATTCTCCTTCATGGTATTCATTTAGTGGCCTGTGATGATCTCCCCGTTTGCGCCACATGGCTATCAGCTTTGTCAATGGGGTTGAGCTATTTGTCTTCCACAGCCTATATCACATAAAAACGGCTTGCCTTGAAGCAAAATTGAGCTTGCGCTGTGAAACGCGTCACTTCACAGTTAAACCATAAATCAATCCGTACCACTTACAAGATTAGTAGAAGTAAGCAAATCACCATGTCGCAATCCTTACAACTTGCACCTTCTGCTGAGCCACATGGCCATGAGATAATACATACAAAAGACGGATGTAACCGGATGGAGTGTGAGCAAAGCAGCACAAAACTGTCTGTATACCTTGAACACCTTAGGTTTTCCTAGGGAAAATTTTCACGCTGGAGTTAAAAGACTGTAGCAAAAAACCAACGCACGTCACAACGAAGTAGCCGTGATTTGGCCTCGCTGACAACAAGACAGCTGGGGGCCACATGCTACCCGGTTGGCCCCAACCAATCAACTAGAACCTCGGAAACTAACTATCAGCAAAGCGCTACTGAACTGGCTTGTGGACGTTTTTCTTGCGTAATACATGTCTAACCCGAAACCCACATCCCGTTGACCTATTTGTGTTCGTATTTTTACACTTATTTTAATGCTGTTAGTACACAGGGCCACGAGGAGTGTAGATATGCATTTCAACTAACGGCTTACAAAACTCAATGAAGTGCTAACATCTCGATAAGGTTGTTTCTATATGCGATACACAAAGCGTACTTAGTTTCTATGATGAAACTGCTGTAAAGTTTCGTGCCCCATATTTGTTTGAAATTATGACCACTGTGGAACCAAATTCCCGGGGTTAACATGTAGTATTCAGTCACTTAGATGCTGTCTTGGCCTATTTTGTCCAGTTTTAAGCGGACAGGCGGTGCTCAGCTTTTTATATTACAACAGAACTTCTTATAATGGGCTTACTTGTTCCACTCGCAGACAAGAACTCTTTTTGCGGGGTTGTCGTGATTCGTGTTCACCAACAAGACATCAACTCAAGATCAATAAACTTAACGGGTCAGAATGCTCACTAAGGATGCCTCTTCGAATGGTGACGAAACGTTTGCAAACCTAGCTTGTTACCTAGCTCGACGAACAGATCAACAACCACCTGGTTAATTATCCTGATTAATTACCCGAGCTACCAATTACCAAAATGCTTTTTGTGTTTCAGCAATCTATTTTTGCATCCAGCAGAATATGAAAGTATATTAAACCGTTCCACAGTGATGACCTTCATACGCATACTCTTTGATGCCAGTGTGTGGAATATAGTAAACGTGCTGCTCATAGTTTAACTAGTAGTATATAAGCATTTCTACCCCGATTTCTACACGTCTTAGAGGTCGTGGTAATAACATCAACCCAAGTTAAGTTTGCTGGATTGCATAGGCTTATTGCAACAACCTCAGCCTTTACTCAAGACCGCTTTTGGATGTACTTTGAAAGCCTGCATGGAACCCGAAGAAAATTTGCTTGTCAATTATCCTTTCAGTGAAATTGTGGGGATATTCTAACATATCTAAGTCAATCAGCAAAATTCTTCGAGTTCTTCAGTTGTGTTTGGCTGCAAACCAAACCCCAAATGAGACGCAATATTTCGACTGCCAATGACCCTCCGTGTTGTCTGTTTAGATTTTATTCACAAGTTCAAAACATTGGCTTCCTTATAAATTAATCATCTATGGGACACCTGAGCTCTTCACCCGACTGCACTACCAACCCAGATTCCGCAGACACTGTCCAGAGCCGTACCTATGCTTCTGAGTGACCCATCGGCTTGTCACACCTACACTGATTGTTTTTAACAATTTATACTACTGCAGTTAGGGATTCTAGTTTACAATTTTATCCGAATGAATGCAGTTTACTTCCATCACTTCGCTCCTGCGGTGTGTATATTTGAAGACATCTTCTGCTAGGCTTTTGAACTAGGTAAACTCGTTTAGTAGTGCATGCACTTCTCCTCGGAATCTGTGATACCTTTAAATCCCCGGTCACCGGAGTGCTGCGTTGATGAAAAGTGTTCCCTGTAATACGTGTCAGTGGAATAGGCTGGTCCGGCTATCAACGTACCCATTAGCTGAATGCATGAGTTTTTTTCTTACCTCAACACGCTGAGACAGCTCCTGAATAGTGGACTGAATACCCACCTGGTAGGTTATTCACATGGGAACTGAAGTTAAACAGACCACCTGCATTTAGTGAATACGAGGAATCTCAGTCGAGATCCAGACGGATCAATCTGCTGTAGTGTGCTTTTACTGAATCTTCAATCTACAGTCTGCCTTGCCGATACTCATGAGATCGATATACAGTCTCTTTGCAGACAACACCCCTCGTAAGCGTGGTGTGAGCTGATATTGTGGTGGGTGCATGCTGCTCCATTTTCTACGGCAAAAGGTAAGAATAAAAATGAAAATAGTACTGAATCTTTTGGGATTTGTAAAAACACTCCGAGTCGAGTTTCTTCAAGTCACCTCAACATCCAGTGATCACCCAGCACACAATGAAACAAACGATCCAAAGGGATTTCGACTGTAACAGGACACCATTGTTTAGTTCGATCAGTTCAGCTGAAACAGTTCAACCCGTTGGCTCATTTGGACCAAACTACGCAACTTGACGTGGCAAAATCAGAAGATACTCTATTCACTTGATCAAATACAGCACCAGACCCAGTATGTTTCAAACGCCTGTACGGAGATGTCACCCCACTCTTGTACGTACTAACAGTTCAGTGGCTTGTGGACTTTGTTCACAAGTAATGCAAAGATATTTCCGCCGTTTGAAGGGGACAAGATCTTGAGGGAGATTGTTATGGAGGACCAATTTGCTGAGTAGCCAGCTAGAGAGAGGCTCCTAAGTTTGCCGAAGAGACTAAGACTTTCCTGTCGAAGAAAAAAGAATTACTAAGAAGAGAATGATGCCTCAGTGATATTAATACTCCAGTGCTTGTTCAATCAAAGCGTACCGATTTGTCTCAGCTGTCAAGATACACCTAATTTTAGTGCGCATCACTACCATCATCCAAATGGAATACGGCCAAATGGAAAACTGGAATCAAGGGAAGTACAATTAAAAATAATAATGACAACGTTCTACGATGTAATATTTTGAAATTCCAGTTCTAGACAGGATCAATAGTCCATACCGAAAGCGCACACCATATCTACTTGCAGCCAGTTTTGAAGTTTCTTGGGAGAGAGCGATCTAAGATGAATGCGTATACTCAGAAAAAACACGGTAAATTGGGCTTTCTCACTACGGATGGATAGATATGCTCCTCACTCCCCTTTTTCTATCATCAATCAAGAGTGTGGGATAATCTGTGATCTTAGTTTGCAATACAATCAAAAACAAACCGAATACGTGGTTGCACAGCTATCACACGTGTGTTTGCATGTGAATGTTTTGATTCATGGAAAAAATACAATCTTTGGTAATCCAGAACACAAGTGTTCTTTGTATGGACTAGTTCACGAGTGTAACCGAGAAAATGGAGCAAGGGAATAAGAACGGCCAACCAGAACGGATTAAATGCTACACTCAAAGTTCTGCGGATCAGATGGAAACAGGTGCTCGCGTGTTTTGATTTGGAGGTGTGTTGAGCTGAATGAAACCACAACCTGAGGCCTATTCGAAGTAGTCACGAGAGGGGGCATAAACAACCGCACAGACCAGGTTACAAATTTCAACCGATTGCTAGAGGACAGGAAGGATGAAATTGGATCAAGAGGATTTAAACAAAAATGACCAATCCAAAACAAGGGAAAACCCAAGCAGTTACAAAAGCCACGGTTGTAGAACACGGTTGAAAATAACAGCGTGATGTTTCAGAGGGGCTGAGTGGATTAAGGTCACAGCAACTGGGTGCACATTTCTGCACCAGTGAAGTTTACACAGCCGCGCAGTTCACATCCTGTTCGGTGTCGAACGAAGCTGGACTCATTTAGAAACGTTTTCTGGCAAGCTCGGCACTGCAGAAGTTCCATTCCGTGCTGACGTTGCTGATGACGCTTCAGCGAAGTTGAGTAGGGGAATTGTGCAGAACAAAGATTGCATGCATAGGGACGTTCTTTGGTGTGGATGCGTAGGTGCCGACTGTAGTTACTAGGTTGAATGAATTCTTTTCCGCATGTTTCGCAACTGGAAAGGTAACAGATGAAAAAAGGGAATAGAAGTCAGTATTTTCCAAAAAAAGATAATTTCAAGTTTATTTAACAATCTCAGCTAGGAAAACACTTTACTTGGATCATTGTTTAATCAGATGGCCGGCGTACCGCTCAGATCAAGTCGGCGCGACTCGCCATTAATGACGGGGATCATGTGATCCACACTACGTCTAGTCGAAGAGGCTGCAAGATCTGGTTGCAAACCGATGTGAATGGCGTCTCTGGTGTCAATTTCTATCCATCCAGATTGCTCGAATCAGTGTCTGGAGGGGTATTCACATCGGAATGATTGTGGTAGACTAGCATTAAGTGCCTTCCTCATGCACTTTTGTTCTTTACTTCACAATAAGGCCCCCAAATAAGTGACGATTGTGGGACAGTAAAGCATCAGTGTGATACACCGAAACAGAACGCCGCGGTATCAATCCAATTCTTGTTTTACTGAGGTTGAGACTGAGAGGCCAAATTTGCGTAACCTTGATCAGTGCATTCACCACCTGTCCTAAGTTCCACAGAGCACCAAAAGATACCTCCACATGGTGCGTGATGATAGGACTCACATACGACTAAGCAGGCCTTGCAGTATATGGGACTGATTGATGAATGGAATTGTGCAGGTGTGATGAAATTCTGAGGTAAAGCCATTGTCAGCTCCATCCGTCTATTGTGTCTATTGATAGGTGTGTGCTTGGATCCATATCCCAAATTTCCAAAATCCCCTTTTCCTTCTACATCAGTTATCATCTTAAAATCGATATGAACAGGCCTTATCTCTTTGAACAAACTCATTAGCGGATCGTTCTAATCCCATCCAAATGAGAAAGTGGCATTCACCTTTTACCCATTCCATGTGTGCCAAATTTATTTCTCACTTGTATTACTTCATATCAGTCGTGCAGTAGGATTCAAACGAGGAGCTACTGGTCTTCCTTCAATTGAATGCACATCGACGTGGAAGAGAGTAGGGCTCGTACTTGAATGTGACAACTAACAAGTTTTGCTTCACTTAGTAACCTTCAGATCCACATAGCTCTTTCTTGTACAGCTCTTATCTTGTCCTGGACTTAGTTATTCTGGTGATTCCACACTAAAGGTGAGAAGCACTAGACTCGGATTCCCCTCTTTTTGGAGCACATCGACAGCGCACTTCATTGACTGCTCTTGGGTTTTAAAACCAGACATCTGACATGCGCACGAACAAGTGGTCATTACTTCACCGGCTTATATTGGATCTGAATGATCATGTGTGAACAGGTGGAACGTTGACCACTGTGACTGGTTTATCCGACATATCAAATGCCGACCCAATTACTGTCCTGGTAATGTCTATCGACTTACCAGTCTGCGGAGACATCCCAGTCTAACCTGTGCTGATGCAGCAATGGCAACATGTCTATCTAGCATTGTTGGATGTCTTGTTTTTCGAAAGCTGGTGTGGCCAAAGATATACACCGTCGATGAGCGCTAATAAAACGGAAACTCGAGTACAGTGCCATCTGGCGTGGATTTACCAGAATAATTGAGCCCGTACAAGAAGAATGTTCAAGCAAAAGTGGGTGTGGATTCTACAAACCCAGTGACCACCTACTCACAACTTAATTATGGTAACCTATAATAAACAAGTTTGCGGTGTGCAGGGAGGTTAAGCTCTTTTGGGCAGCGCTCAATTGGCAGGAGCGTTTGTAAATGAAAGGAAGAAGGCTTTCACTGCGGAGTTCTGGTTCCAAATTGCTGCACACAACGATATCATCCCCGTAAACGGCAACATTCTGGAGTTCCTTCGTTAAACGAGGCATCAAGTGCCCCAGACAAACCAAACGGCATTCTTCTAAATTGATATTGGGTGTCCCCAAACACAAACGCCGGTCCTCTGACTTGATAGGTAGTTGCCAGTATCCAGAACGCAAGTCGAACACATTGAAATATTGGGAAGGTTGGGGGGAATAAAAAGTCTCCGCAACCGTAGGCACAGCTACAAACCGATTCACGGTCAGTTCATTCAAGCGCGGGAAATCCACGCAAAACCTGTATTTTCTGTTCGCCTTTCTTACAAGCTTAACCAGGGAGTTATACACACCATGGGCTTCTTCTTCTACTGATATTCCTAATATGATTCCAGTCGACCACGTGTATGTACTAATGAAACACAGCTGAAATTACGTTGTAACCGTCATTAGTGATACTTAGGCAATGTTTGGGTGCAAACATACTCGGAACACATATCATGGACGATAAATGCTGTCCGCGGAAAAATTTTGGATCGCAACATTTGGTTTTAATTTTTAACTGGTTCTTAGAAAGAAGACTTAAATCACCCCCATTTTTGCCAGATCCTCATCTAAGAGGTCTTTTGTGACTTTTACTGAGGATCTAAGTACACACAATGCGAACAAAGACACAGTACATGGAGGGGAAACGAAACGGCGACCTCTAGCTCACCGGATGAGTGCTCCACCAGCTCAGGTACCATTAACGCTACCCCACGTCACACACGTGCACTTTAACTCACACTGGTTCGCTACACCTCTGCCACTGATGCCCGTCAGCCAACTTAGCGAACCCTTCGTATGATTTCTACAATGAGTTGGACATTGATATCATTCAGATAACCAGACAGCGTGATTTTGAATAAGTCCAGGAGAGACGATGATTTGAACACAGAAAGAAAATGAAAAGACAGAGTCCTTGGATGTTGCTTTTGTCTACGTGATATAATTCCAAAGAGGAATAATTTGCGCTTACTTAACAAACGCTGTTCCTGCCCATGAGAGATTCGTGATCCTGACCTCATAACCTTTGTGTGTGGAAAGTCACATTCCCACTGTCTCGTCAGCTGGTGACGAAAGACTTGCAACCTTATTGCTCAGTCCCGCGAATTGGCCAAAAGGCCAACAAGCTATCTTGACATGGAAACTAGCACAGAATTCCGGCGCACAGAAAGATTTCCATATTTCAACCATTTGTCTGTTTGTACCAGTGCGACTGAAGTAGTCTAACCTAGCTGAAGGCATGGGTAAAGGATATCGGCCGCGACATGCTATGCGCCGGTCTTCGAATTACGGCACCGAAATATGACAGCCACCTGATAAACAGTCCCGTAACGGTAGTATATTTGACACGTTTTATGCATGAGCAACAGGGGTGGGAGCCACCGACCTAGATCGAATACCGACGACAAAGCCAGGACGGCAGCTTGGATGACTGTTTAGCCAAATAGGCTGCTAGGAGTAATATACAACCCTTAATTTTATTAAAAAAAACACAGATTCAATATAATGACTACACAAAACCTCGCTCACCGGAATTGCATCTCTTTTGTGTGCACCTTGGTGTGCATGCGAAAATTACTCGCGTTGCTGAACTTCTTGTCACACAGTGGGCAGTTATACGGTGTCTCCCCAGTGTGAATACGGATGTGGGCGTAAAATCCGCTTACGTGTCTGAAGGCTTTGCCACAAACCTGTCGTAAGAGGGTATCATACGCACATGCGTTCAGCAAAAGTAAGTGGAATCAAGAAGTGTGGTTGAATGGATAAGAGTGTGTAATTTACATTGGGCATTTGGATACCGAAAGTGGTGGAGAGAAAATTATGCTACACATTTCCCACCGCACTAATACATTGTGACTGTCAATCACAGCCTTTCGTGTTTACACGCTGTTAAAGGCCTGGGAACCACCCAATCCTAGCTGTTGTGTCGCTGCACCGAAAATTCGTTTTAGGAAGGGCGCAACTCCGCTGCTGAATATTCTAAGAACCGGGTCAACGCGTTCTTGACTCTGATGATTACAACTCAGATGCGTCTCCTAATGGGGCATGTTACACAGTTCAGGCCTACCGGAAGCACCATACAAAATTGAGACATATTTAGCATCCAAGTTTATTCTTCCATTCGCTTTGAGTCTTTCGAATAAATTACACGGCACTGAAGCATCGGCGTTGAAGACTGATGTACTGTCGAAGATGATGGTGATGAACATGATGATGTTTGTGATCAATCGGGAGGAAATGGTAGGTGCACCACTCACGAGCTAACCCTCATTGGGGTAGTCAAAAGTGAAAAGTCTTTTGCTGGGTAACTGACGCAGATTCTAGCGAGAAAAAAAGCAACTGAGAGAATTTTGTTAAAAACACAAAGTAATTGCTGAATATTGAACGATTCTATAATAAACCGAGGTCTTTTCAGGGTAGGGCTACTATATGATAAAGCAAGTAGTCCCGTTGATCAAAAGGGAAAGTATGGCGAAATATTCCCGTGGGGATGACTGGGAAGAAAATTGAATTAAGAGTAACGAGCCCACAGGTGTTAAGTGCCGTCGAAAAATAAAAATCCAGGATGTGATTGTAATCAAGCGTTTGTTTGCAGGGAAAGTTACTCTGTTGTGATGTTTAAATACAAAATTGAGGTTAGAATCAGACAGAGCATATCTAGTACTGCAGTAATGCTATACTAATTCCGAAAAACGTGCAAGTTACTCCACGTATAGATAAGGTGAATCAATGGGATCTCATTGGGGATATTGGCATCTTTTCTTTGTGGAAACCACTACGGAACCAAAAAAGTACACCTGAATCCGCAAGTTGTGAAGCTCGCCAGTGCCACTCATCGGGTGACTAACATGATGTATGACTACGGTTCATAACTGAACCGCTACTGCTTCGGTGTAGCGTAAAGAGTTGTTTCAACCACTCTTAGGTAGATCCAACGTGCTACCTGGTTAGTAAATTGCCAGCTGAGTGTACTCGCAGGGTGAATATTTGATCGATATATTCAGGTGGACCAAAAGCCGTATACTAACAAACAACAGTACCAGAAAGGTATATGGAGCACCCCAAGGGAGTTCGGTCTGCCTAAGTGGCGTTTAAAGAGCAAATGGGATGTTTCAACTTTTTTCCATACCGAAGAGTAGCTGGTCCGTTAGAGAAATTGATTCTACCAGATGGGTGAGACGGCAGAAGCGACTCAATCGACAGGAACGCTAGTGCTGACATTAATACTTCACTACTGTACAGCCAGAGAAGAGTAATTTCTAACTACTTTAAAATGAATACATACTGGATTCTATGTATGAATCTGCAGCGAACCACCAGCTTTTGTTCTGGTGCTCAAACTAGCTGCCATGCTTTGATTCCTGGTTACTTACGAGTAGTTTAACAAGAAAACAATTGTCAAGTCCGGCGGTTGTTTATGCTGTGGCTTGTGCAACATACAGGTAATAAACGGAATCCCGGTTGACAACTACACGATAGGTTGTAGGGTATTGGATCATCTCTCTGACATGCTAGGCGAGGACCTCCGTGGTCAGGTTAACAATAGCACACGTGCGATTACCACGAGACTGAGCAACCTGTAGACTGCGCCTACGATTGCATTCAATGAGCATTAAAAATATCCAGTAGAATGCAATGTAATAACCAACTTCCACAAAATACAACGATTCTTCGTAGTCCGGAAACAACGACGTCATAAGGAGTACCACTGTTTTCACTGTTTAGCTCCATTTGGATCCGAAACTAAATCAACCTCAATGTGACAGAGTTTTGGTAATGGCTAACAAAATGTTCCACCAGCCACAAAGTCCTTAAGTTGGCTTGCTAGTTAGTTTTCCACAATTCCTAGAAGTGCTTTTATTGAAGTTCATCTTCTGAATTAAGTCTACCCACTTGGCTTTGACCCCCAAATTTCAGGCTTCCCGTAAACCTCTGCAACACGGGCTACATATCCTTCTGGACATCTCGATACAGCGGTTGGTAGTTCGCTATCGCGAAATTGTGTCCCAAAATTCTATGTATGCCGCGTGCAAGCTCTTGAGTACTGAGATATATTTCACCGTCCTTGGTGAGTCATGGTATACTTCATGTAAATTTATCATCACCAGAAAAGGAAAAGCGGTTCTGAGCACAAAAGAAGGATTGTTTTTGAAAATGCACCTTCTCAAGGTTTGGCTCAGTGTTTGATGTGGCGTTTGGAATTATCAGTGAAGTATCTAGAAGGGAAACATTCTTCCTAACAAATCAGTACAACATGTGACAACGTAAAGTGTACTGGAATTTCTTCATTTTATCTCACGGAATGTTGCCGAATTCCTGCACGCAAGTCATTCTAATCCACAAGCCTCCAGCCGCATCTCAGGATGTTGGTTAAATAGACCTGGTTGATGTGAAAGGTCTATGAATTTTACCAATACCTTTAGGAGAACCTCGCTACCTATGTGCGACATGGTATAACTATCCCAAATTTACCATCGGTTGAAAGTTCAAATGACAATAATATTGCACTGTTTCATTCACCGCGGTAATCCCGGCGTAACACCACACTTTTTCACGTTCGATTTCGACCCATCGGAAGAAGCTGAATCAAATAACTAGAATCACCCTACGTTGTACGCGGCGTGAAGATGACGACGGTCAGTTTGTTCATTTAGAAAAAGCTATTATATCACGCTTGAATGCTTACTTGAATGATAAAGTTCACTCCATGAGTGAGACGGAAGATAAATCAGTTATTCGCGCGTCGATACCTCTGAATCAAGTCTAAAAATTCACTTTCAGCAACGTACAAATGACACACAGTCAAAGATTTCTTCCGTTTTTTGAAGCCATTAACACTACACGATGAGAAAACAAACTGCAAGCTCATCACAGAATGGTGCCATTCACAGTGAGAGATACTGCAACTTATGGCATGGAAAATTCCGTGTTGTTGCCCCTTATCTACACATGTCATCTGTAAATGCAGTCCGCACACAGTGGGAGATACGTGGAGCGGAGGTTCAAGGGACAACTTCCGTTAACCAGTACTTCCAATGGCTCTTTTTTAATCGAAAATCCATCTCTATTATTTACCTGTGATCGTGAAAACATACGGCAAAAATATAGCAAAAATTGGATCCAGAACTGTTGGAGGATGAATCGATTGATTATATATATATATATATATATATATATATATATATGAAAACA